GAATATCGTTGTCACTGTGCATGACCCCTACAAGACGATCGTGCCTGCGATCAGGATTGGTAATCCTCGCGAGAGCTCGTGCAACCTTGAAGGGATCGTCACGGGGGCAGTTCCCATGGAGACCGACCGGGAAGCCCTTCGAGAGGCCGAGCGCTTCGTCGCGCGGCGTGAAAATTCGCTTGTCGACGCGTGGCCTTCACTCTTCGGATATACCAACTATTTTTATCGACCTTCGCGTGAGGGACGCACCAGCGGGGGAGTGCGTGCCTTTTATTTCGTACGGAAGCACCGCTCTCGCGAGTGCGACGAGTGAGTCATCCTAATCGCTCGGTTGCGAGTTCTTTGCTGGTTTTGTCCTGCCAGCTGGGTGGGGTCGGACCTGGTCGAAACGAAAGGGCGCCACCGTATGACACATTGGTATTCCGAAGGAAAATAATCAGGAAGAGACCGAGAACCAGTCCTGTTCTATGTCAAAATTTGAATTTCGTTTTTGGAATTTTGCCACAATTTTCTCTTCAATTCGATAAAATTTCAGTAAGATTTGACTCGTTTTGTTCGAGACACGCACTCCGGTGGCGAATTTATATTTTAATAATAGCTTATTTTATCTTCGTGAAATGTGTGTCGTCGGAACTTAGAATATAAATCGTATAAAGTTAGCGTTTATTTCTAACTACAAAGCCCTGACCGATCGATAGCTCGAATAAAGCAGACAAAATAAGTTTTTCCTTCGTCAATTCTAGTGTTGGGTCCGCCGCTTAAAATGAGAAGTTTTAAAAGTCTTTTTATGTCTTAAGTATATTAGCAGATTAAACACGTCCATTGGATTAACGACTTGAAACGCGTGGGAAAGTTATTATAGAGATCCTTGATAGACTCTGTTATTTGTTAGGTAGCTATATAATTACATACATCGCGAGTAAAATCCATGACGCGCATTCACATGCGCATTATTTTCATTCCCGAGTAAATGTTTTCCACGAAATTAAAATTCTATTATGAATATAGTAAAATAGAAATTGTATTATGAAAAATCCACTCAAGAAATTACATTGATAAGATTCTTTTCATTCATATTTTATATATGTGATTAAAAAATGATTTGAAGTATTTTCTATTTGTGATTGTGTGTATCAGTGTATCAGATCTTATTCTTACAGAATAAAATCACGGAGATATGAAATTAAAATAAAATACGAAAAAGTATTCTCGATTTGCTGTTTTATACTATTAAAGATTTTCTAGATAAGGAGAGAATAAAAATCACACATAAAATTAAATTCTTAACTTATGTATACAATTTATAATGAAAATATGTTCTTTTGACGTCTCAATCGTGATAAATTAAATGCGAAATTTCATATTGACTTGCATTCAATTGTCGGCTAATACAAAGTCTGTATTGTAGTGATAACACACTATGTGTAATGCGCGAAGATCGGAAAAAAAACAGTATATATCTGGTATAATAAAACAGCTCGTGATGATATAAAAATGGACAACGTCAAGCTTGGCGAATTGCCGTGAAACTAATTGTAGACATTTAAATGCAAGCAATAGAAGATTCATATATCTAAAAAAATTGCTTTTTCATCAACGTATCAATTAATTCTAAGCATTAAAGTATTTACCGTATGACCATTTTAAATTTTAAAATATATTCTATAATTAAAATATTTTATATAATAATATATTTATTTGTATATATATATATATATGTATGCGTGTGTGCGTGCTATTGTATTAATATAATGAGAAAAAATTAATTATTGATCGTTCGATCATTACGATAACATAAGCATCATCTCATCATGATATAGGTATCATTATAATACTTAACCATCTTATAACGGTATAATATCCTTGAAAGTAATACGACAAAAAGGGCACAGTAAGCACGTGCCCTCGCAAGAAACGCGAGCACGAGTTTCGCGTTCGTACATGTGTCGCATTAATTTCTTGCCGCGATTTTTCACGGTGCAGTCGCAGCTGCAGCTTTTAAGTGACTCTGCACAAAGGAAGAAGAGAGAAAAAACGCGCACGATATTATTATACACCAAAAGTTCGATAGGTTTTTTTTTTTGCCCCAGAGAAGCGATATTTTATTATTTCTTTAATTAATAATAATAAATAAATTAATTAATACAAAATCTTTCGGTTTGTACTGTTTCGCTTTTTAATTGGCATGTATCGTCATCTCTTTTGGATTGACATTTGGTATCTCTAGATCGGAGGAACATTTAACATCGCGGAAGTTTCTCATGCGATATACTTACGATATTCAATTTTCACGCGACGATACTTATTCTAGCAATGGCGCATCTTGTATATTACGTATAATGAAACATCCTGTATATCGTTGTGCGATGTATATACCGGACGTTTGTATGTACCGTTTGTTGTTCCTCGCATCATGCCGCGTCGAACATGGCTTTTGATACGGATCTTGCCTGCGGTTGTGTTATTCGCGCGCATTTTTTTCCTTTATTTTCTTTTCTTAAATCTCACGGTAATCTCTCGCGTTTCCGACGCATAACGGATTCCGTTGCCAGCTCGAATGAAAAGAGAGGCTCGCGTGACTTTATCGCTGCAATCACGTCGGAAGCATAAGTAAATCACTTATGGCTCATATTCGAGCGTAAACACTGTGAATTTTCTCCAATTAGTGTCAATAACTTGAAACGAGAACGCGCGAGCCACGTTGTTCTGTGATTCGGAGGCAGAAGCGATTAATTAATGTCCAGATATGGAATGTCAGAGTCCCCCTTTTAACAGGCCAGAAAGTTAATACCAGTTCTAGCAATAAAAGTTGTTTTATTATTATAAATGAATATAATTATATTATATATTCTTTTGCATTTTTAGAAAATTATTTTACACTAATGTGTGCAATATTTCATATGTTTATAATAGAATTTTTATATGTGATTATTTTTTATATTTTTCACTAATTAAACAGAAAAATATTCTCATCTTTATGAGAGAATTCTCCTGTGCATTTCAAACTTTTTTCATCTAAAAATACATCAATGATTCTAATATCGCGTGTTACGTGTCATTAATGAAGAAAAAGTATATCCATGATTAGAAACATGAGAAGGGGAAAAGACCGTATAAAGATATAATCAAACGAGATGATAGTATCGATGTTCTCGGCGATTACCAAGTTCGGCCAAAGACCTATCTGCGGCTTTTCTTGGACCGATACTTGCATCACATGGCTCGTAAAAGTATGGCAGGATCGTGCCACATTTATCGTTCTAAATCCGATCAGCGTGCTTGTACTTTTAGATCTCTTTATCGTCGACGACTATTTATTTACTGTTTTATCATGGTCGTGTTGTCCTCTTGCCCTTTCAAAATTTAACGCGCGATGTTTTCTATTATATATCCGATTTGTATATATGCAAAATTTAGTAAATTCGGTAAAACTTTAATCGAATAATATTTAATCGCTAGATTAAAGAGAGTTCTCGTTTGATTTCCTCGATCGAGTCGCTCGAATTGAACGTGTCAACGCATCTTTGCGCTTTAACGCATCGTTGTCCTTGTTCACTGTCGTTGAAAGTACTTCCGTTCGTGTTCGTGACAGGAAAATTTAAGAGCGATCTTATCTACCGTGTGTTGACAAAGCGACGCCTGCTTTCACTATTCAGCTCTGTGCAGTTTGAATTTTGATGCCAGATGGAAATTATTTTGGATTTACATTAAATCAACTATAAGAAATTGTAAAATTGCAGTAGATATTTTAATGATAGAGATGCAGAAAGCAAATTAAGAAAAATTAAAAACGCTTAAGCATACATTAAAGTATTTATCGTTATGATATACATGTAATCAAATGATTTTATCTTCCAATTTACAAGTATAATTCACATATAATTTCCCACTTGTGTAAGCGATGAAATAATTCTTTAGCATATATTGAATGAAAACTTTACAAAAGAATTTTATTTTGCAGTTTAATTGAACTCATTAAATTAAATAAACAGTGTGTTTCTTGCCCGTCAAGCTACGGATATCGTGAATATCACGGTCACGCGTGCCTCCTAAAGACCAAGGAATTTCTTTCACGAGTTCAAGGACCCCTTCTTCTTCTTTTTTTTCTTCTATTATTCCTGCACGTAACGTTTTACGAACGTGTTACGTGGGAATGCTTTAATTCACATACCGTTTTATCGGTGGCGCAACATCGCTTTTATGCGCGTCTCGCGCACAATTTATTTCGATATGGATTAAGAACTTCGATCGCTGTGCGAAACGAGAGTCCTGTTTCCGAGTCCAGATTTACGATGATTACGGTATTGGGGTGAGTAACCGGTTCAATGACACGCCGCGCGTCAAGTTGAACGGCTCATTTACATTTATCTACCACTTGCAGTAGATGCCTATGACTATATAGGATGTCTCGCATATAAGCGAATCAGCACATTCGTTCGACACGTTCTTTGACGAATCGGAAAGAAATTTGAATGAATCATAAATTATTAAAAATATATAGATTTTTCGCAAACGGAAATAAATTTTTCGACTCTGGATACACCCCCTTCTTTTCTATTTCTTTAGATAAAGATGCAGTAATGAAAGGTTGATACCCTCTTGCATATTCTCTCGACATTCTCATTCGACCGACTAAATTAACGGTTACAACTACGTTACTGGCGAATGTCGATTTAACTGGCACGTTTAACAGGAGTTGATCCTAAATGATTGGCGAGAAAATCTCGAGACGTGTATAAGATTGATTGCGGACGATAAGCCAGATATTAATTCTAACAAATCAAGCGAATTTGCATATGCGATTTTATCCCATCGCGTTGTGATACAAACGCTACAAATAAATTACACCTCCTACGTTAAATGCAACCGCTAAAAAAAAACTTAATATTAATTATAAAATAATGTCAAAGAAACTGTAATATAAAACAATAAACAATTTAAAAATCGAAGTCTTTCGCAATTGATTTCCATAAATTTTAATGAAGTGTATAAAGTTTTCCTTCTACAATTTATTCAAATTATTAAGTTTAATTTACTTAAATTTGTTGATTTCTTTTAAACTTTGAATTTTTTTTTCTCATAATTTTTGTGATATGTGTATTAATATCATAGTAGCAAAAGACTGAATGTGTTTTTCGACATTATAATTATTATAATGCCCTATTATAATTATTATAATAGGATTATTACAACGAGAAATAAAATTGTGGTCAAAATGGCTAAAAGGAATCACAACGGGATGAGACACGTATAAATAAAGCGAGAAGCGCGAAAGGGAGCGCGCTTATCTGGCAAATAATAGCGGTGTTTTGTCTCGCGTTAGTAGACGTTTGCTGGCGATAGCGTTGGGATGAAACTCTCTCTCGAGGATCAATACGCGCAGTGGCGGATTTCTCAATCGGCGCACATGAAGCCTCCCATGCTTCGGTGCTTTCCCCACTGAATGTGACTTATAACGCTCGTGTATCACGTCAATAACGAATAATATAACATATTTATTATATGTTATTTCAAAGTAATAAGTAAAGCGATTGCGAAAAGATATTCGTATAATGAAGCTTATCTAAAAAGGAAGGAATAAATGGATTTGATAATTAAACTTTAATTAATTGCATACGTAAAATATGAGAGTAGATATCCACAATGCAATGTAAAATAATTATTTTATCTTTTACATTAAATATCATTCAATTAAGATCGATGAGAGTAAATTTTGTAAAATCTCCTTTGATGCTTCTTCACTCGGTGATGTAGTTTTATTATTATGGTGTATTAGTAACAAAAAAAAAAAAAAGAATTAAGAATTAAGCTTAAGAATTTTCTTTATTACTTATTATATACGATACTTGAGATAATTATATTTGAGTATAACTTGAGATAAGCGGATTTAATGACGCTTTTAATGAACAATGTTATATAATTAATGTGCACATTTGTTTTAGACGTTGAGAAGCTACTTTGAGTAGAATTTTGTAATTCGAGTAAGAGCAACTGCGAGTTTGTCCAGCCACGTCAGTATGATGCAGAGCAACGGTTCGGAGAATATAGGATCTGAGAACGGTGTTGACAAATCGGGATGGACAGTATGTGCATTAATTAATTGAATATATATTAGCTTAATACACCCTGTCGAATTTGTCGAAGTTATGTGAGAATACGTTAAAGGTATTGCTGAAAAACTTGGACGATCAATATCTTTTTTGTATTTCATTTTTTTAAATGAAATTGTTACATTACATACTAATCAAATTATGTATAATATTGTTGATTATAATGATGAAAAAATTATCTTATTATTTAGATTGCTATTAATTATATTTGACAGATTTAACGAACTTCTTAAACTTAAACCATTTATTTAGCAGAAATATAAAATCAGCGAATTATAATATAATTGATATGTTTTTTCCCCTTTAGGTTGGATTGATAAACGGGAAGTTTAAATATTTAACGGCGGAGACATTCGGTTTCAAGATAAACGCCAATGGTTCGAGTCTGAAAAAGAAACAATTATGGATTCTGGAGGGTAGTGAGCATCAGGTTTTCCTTCGTTCGCACTTGGATCGATATCTAGCAGTCGACCAGTTTGGTAACGTAACATGCGAGAGCGAGGATTCATCGGATCCGGGATGTGCTTTTCAAATACAACTCGCTTCTGATGGTATATATGAGCTTTTACAATCCTTTTTACGCGAATCAGTGTCCATTTATAATCTATTAAAATTGTATTATTTAATTCATTTTTTACTGATTAATTACGGATGTCCCGATAGAATCAGTTTTTGTATTGTTATATCCGGCACTTACTTCGCTGGGGCTTTGTAACGAATAATTAAAATTTATACATACGTATATGTATATGTATATTTTGATGTGTGTGTGTGTGTGTGTGTGTGTGTGTGTGTGTGATTCTTTCAATATACGACAACCGTGATAAATTCCAGGCAGCGGACGATGGGCGCTGAAGAATATTCAGAGAGGCTATTTCTTAGGCTCGAGCCAAGATGAATTAAAGTGTACCGCTAAGGCTCCGGGAGAGGCGGAATACTGGCTCGTACACCTTGCCGCCAGACCGCAGGTACATCTTAAAAATACCTGTTGCATTTTCAAGTCTTGCAACCGAAGCATTTAAGTAATTATGGATCCGTGGTTTATGTAATCTAGGCGTTGCGTTATATGTACACGCAATTTCACTAATTATTGTAATTTCTTGACCAACTGATTAAACAATCTTAATTTGTTGCGACATTGCTTCATTCTTTTATGATTATATACTATACTATATGGATACCTCTTTAAGTTCTTTTAACTAACTTGAGGATGATTGTAAAACATTTTTCAACAATTTGAAGAATATATATATATACATATATATTAAGAGGATAATATTAATTTTAATACTAATTTTAATATTAATTTTACGTAACTGACTAGGTGAATCTTCGATCGGCCGGAAGGAAACGTTTTGCGCATTTGAGTGCGACTCAAGATGAGATCCATGTGGACGCGCCAGTGCCCTGGGGTGAGGACACCCTATTTACATTGGAATTTCGTCCAGCGACCATGAGCGACGATGATAGTCACAAGGATCGTGCTAAGTCTGAAGGCGGTCATTACGCGCTGCATACGTGCAATAATAAATATCTCGCTCGTGACGGCAAACTGTTGGACGCTTGCACGCGAGACTGTTTGTACGCTGCGGAATTTCACGCCGGTCTTCTCGCCCTTCGGTATATAGATAAAGCTATCTTAATGTTAATTAGCAATCATTTCGTTGGGCCTTCTGTATAATTGTTTACACGGCATAAAAAGATACAATCATTTCAAGATGCGAGATGATGTTAATCGAACATTTCGATATCTCGCAGGGATATACACGGCGCGTATTTGGCACCGATTGGTAGTAAAGCTGTTCTAAAATCGAGATCAACGACCGTTACACGTGACGAGCTTTTTTCTTTAGAAGAATCTCTGCCACAGGCATCATTCGTCGCGGCGTTGAACCAGCGATATGTTTCCGTGAAGCAAGGTAGATTTCTAAACTTTACTATTGCGAGATTCTTCGTTCATAAAAATGCGAATTTACTTATTATTAGGAGAATTATTAATCAAAGATTGATATCTCGATTTTGATTAGGCGTCGACGTGACGGCCAATCAGGACGAGATCTCCGGCCATGAGACATTCCAGTTGGAGTTTGATCGGGTGACGAAACGATGGTACGTACGAACGATGCAGGATCGTTACTGGAGTCTGGAAGCCGGCGGCGGTATCCAGGCATCCGATCACAAGCGATCGTCGAACGCACTGTTCGATCTGGCGTGGCAGTCAAATGATGGCACGGTCGCGTTGCGCGCAAACAATGGCAAGTTCCTGGCGACCAAGCGATCCGGTCATCTCTACGCGAACGCCGACTCGCTGAACGGCAATGATTCCGACCCTGCGAAGTACTACTTTTATCTGATGAACCGGCCTGTGTTGGTGCTGCGATGCGAGCAGGGCTTCGTCGGGCCCAAAAGCGCGGCCAGTACCAAGCTTGAATGCAACAAGGCTATCTACGAGACGATACGCGTCGAGCGGTGCGAGCGCGGTGTGGTCAGATTTAAAGGTAATTTATTTTTCTCTTTATATAATTTATTAATTTCCACGTTAATCAAATTTAATTAATCATTTCTTTCGGAAATTTTAAATATATATTCTATAATATAATATAAATATATGTGATATGTGGCAGTTTTTTTCAACCAATTTAAAATAAAATATGATATATATATATATATAAAGTTAAATATAGTAATGTAATATAATGGCTATTAATTTTATCATTGAAAGAAATAGAATATCATTGTACTTGCCTCCAGATTACGATTACTTGATTTAATTTTATCGATTGTTTATTTATTCATCATAATAAATAGGACAAAACGGGAGGTATTGGCACGCGGATAGCGAAGGAGTGACCGTAGATTCGGACATACCATCCGACGGTTTTTACCTGGAGTTGCGCGAGCCATCACGGATCTGCATCAAATGCGTGGACGGCCGATATCTCACCGCGGGCAAAAATGGCGCGCTGCGTTTAGGCGAGTCGGATTACGAGTCCGCCACGAAATGGGAGTTCTAATGTGGGCAATATATATAATAACGTAAAAAAACGTGCAACGAGCAAGATTTGTACTCCACTGCCTCCTCAGCTTTGGTCGTAACTCGCACAATATCATACCCTTCGAATAACAGTGGTAAAAGATTCGCAATTTGGACTAATTCCTCTGCGGCGTACTTAATTAATCGAGCATACCGCGTCGAGCAATCAGCATAGAGTTAACAATTCACAATGTATCGACGTACGATTTTCTTGTTTCCGATTTTGATAAAACGTTTCGTCAGTCCGCAATATATTCCAAACTGACGCGATAAACGATTTATCCTAAAATCCAAGACCGGCTTGGATACTTTCATAACTGTCTAGGATCTATTTTATACATAATACACGAACTTTTATACCTGTATATTGTAAGTATAACTTGCCACGTTGCGAGCTCAATATTATACTAATGTCTTTCTTGTGTACTATTCGTATACTGAATTTTTTATTATAAATAATTTTTATTATAAAAATTGGTAATGATTGTTATTATATTTACTTATTTTATATTAATATGTTTTGTAATATGAGAAGTTTGATAATGTAAATCATCAATATGAAAAAAAGGAAAACGGGAGAGGAAATATATAGATTTTTCTTTCTGCTCGCAACGTGATAACAAATTGCTACAGTTACGAGCACATTTTATTCATTAAGCGAATTATTTAAATGAATATAAATATACTCTTAAAGAGACATTTGAAAGAGAGCCAAATCCAATAAGTCGACCAATATTCGCGACCACTGCCTGATCGGTTCAATATCGATTTCACATTTCATAGTTTCCATTACCAAAATATATCCGTTACGATCGTAAGTTAGGCAAAGCGCATTTAATGAAACGCACACAGAAGAGTTTTGCTATATTCTCTTCGCATGCTTCACACATTTATACTAGCCTACCGCGTATATTAAATAAGGCCAAACTAAGGCTTGGTGATGGAAAGATTTGCAGTAGCATACAGATTCGCGTTTTTGTTCGCTTTTTTTACGTTTATTAAGAACGATACACTTCGACGGATATCACGCGTTTTTAGTAATAAGATAGACTTATATAATCTTCTTCACTTTTCGTAACAATAAACAAATTGGCGGAAGATCGCCTATGTTATATGTTTCACGTTTTACGAAATTCCTATATAGTACTATATCGAATAGAATTGTATGAGATACGAGAATAGATATGTCGGATAGATTATTTTGAAAGACATTGAAATCAGTCTCGTGTAAATATACGTTTGCCTCTTCAACACATTGTTGTTTTATGATCGTAATATATATTATCTACGCCTCGCACCACTTAATTTTATACGTTACGAGAACGGAACGCGTATTTTTATGACGCGAAATGTATGAAAACCGTGATCGTTGAGTATTTTATACCTTTGAATAAGATGTGTCGATAAAATATATGTCTTGATTCATGACGATGATATTGTGTGCCTGCGCGCGCGCATCACATACACATACACACAAAACTTCTTTATATACTTATGTAAGCGGCAATCTCTTTTACTACTTTTTCACGATAGAAATGCATTAAGAATAATGGATGTAATAAATTAAAGGATAAAATAAAAAAATTTTTTATTGATCAGGATTTTGGCTGAGTTGAATTGTTTATTCAACTAGACGTAATTCTTTTCACAAACTGATATTGTATATATTACAGGACTATATACAGAATGATATAAAAAACTCACTATTACATCTATTGTATTCGATTTTAGTAACATATTTTCTATGACAAATATCTATAATATAGATTTTTTCCCACATAAAAATATTACAAGAAATATATTAATGGTATCATTTTTTTATTTACAGAGGTTTCAATTTGGAAAATTTATTTTATATGTCAAAAATTACATATATAAAGGAGTGCAGGGAACAAAATTTCAATTTTATTTCTCCATTGCTATGCAATATTTATTAAACATTTGTTAAAAATATTGATTTTCAGTCAGCAACAGAGAACTATATCGGATACCAATAAGACGAAAATGGTAATTAAGGTTGTCACAATTTTTATGTGTTATCGCCTAAAATATTTATTATAAGTTTACTGCCATTCGATGGCGTTTAGCAGCTCGTTCCTCCACTTCCGTAAAATGTTTAATGAACATCAATTTTAATGTCGGGTACATCAAAGGCAAAAGCGGCAGTTGCGACAAACTGATGTGCATATTATCATATGCAATACCTACATTTTTCAATTTAGAGCTATTTTCATCATCGTTGGGCAAGGGTGGTATCACTGGGTAACGTTGACTGAAATGCGTTAACAGCGTGAACTTTGATCTCATTTGTTCACCTGCCTGTATGGCTTGTGAGGTGGTCGAATGTAACTTCATCTTTGCTTCCTTCAATAGATCGTCCTCCATTGTCGCTTCGTGAATCAGTAGATCGCAATCTTGACCGAGTTTCACAAGATTTTCGCAAGGCATAGTGTCACCACTGAAAATATAAAATGTTGCCATGGTTGATATTTATCACATTAAGATAGAGTATCTATTTCAAACTAAAATATAAAATAAATCAAAGATCCATTGTGTATAGTCGAATTGAAGTTAATACTGTATACGAAAAAATTTATAAGAAATTTTATATATACCTGTATACTATTTTCTTCCCATTATTAAGTGTCACAGAAATACCGAAAGAATAAGGACAATGCTTAACATATGTCGTTTTCACAGCTTGCACATTTAATGTTTTGTACATATTTTGGTATTTGTACTCCGCCGGGTTATGTGTGTCCAAGAAGAACTCGTTGTTCGGAATTAGCGTCATTTGATGCAAAATAGGTTCGAAACGTCTATGATAAAATCGCAACCACATAGCAATATATGCCGGCGCGAACAGGTACAAAGGATCTTGTGTGACTTTTTCCCTTCCTTTCAGAAAACCGACCAATCCAATATGATGATCAGCATGAGGATGTGATATGTACACCGCCTAAAATATAATTTGTGCAAGTGTTACAAAAGTCACCATTATTGCAAAATTATGAAAAATAGAAACATTAACATACTTTGATCGTTTTTATGATGTTATCCATCTTGTATTTTCCATAGATTTTCGCAATCTGTCCAAACGTGCCCTCACCACAATCTAGCAACATACTGTGATTTTTATCCACTCGTAGGAGTATACCGCTCGTGTTTCTAACTTTACTCGGAACGCTAGAACCAGTGCCTAACATAATGATTTTTGGGTATTCCTTTCCAATAGATAACTTTTCCGTTTGAATATTAATGTTTGTTTGCAGATCTTTCAACATTTCTGAAAAGCCTTCGATTTCGAAAACCTCTTTCATATATTCCTCTGGATGCAACAATACTTCATTCTTTGTATCAAATTTCAGTTCTGGTTGCAAATGGATGATGTGATTTGTTCTGGGACGATATATGATGGACAGTTCATTCGACTGAGAAAAGAAAAATTTGTATTTGCAGCAATATATGAAAAAATATTTAGATACTTCCGAAATCAAGAGAAACAACTTCGATATGTTTCACCCACATCTTACCCGTGTTTTCTTTTGAAAGCTTTTTTCGTTTAAGAAGGGAAATATTTCAGAGTGTAATATATGAAGTTTGTGTTGTTGCCTATGAATCGCTTCAGTGCCCATGCATTCATTTTCCTCGTTCATTACTATGTGATATGTGTTGCGATCAAATTTGACCATCCAGTCTATGTAACGAGGGTCATCCATCACCCTTTGAGGTGTGAAATGAACAATGCAAAATGGTGTATCACTCTCATCCGACATTGTTGTGTGATGTCGCGCAAAGGCAGGTTGATTTACAAAAGATTCTAAATAATCTTCCGATGGGCATTCTACAACTGTACATAAATAAAACGTAAAAAAAAAGTATAAAAAATTTGTTGTTCAACATAAACGCCTAAATATTTGTTAATCGTTTCAAGACAGTTTGCCAACATACTTAAGAAAATAGGACCTGGCGTCGTTGGAGAACAGACATCTGTGCTCAGAACGACTGTACCATCAGGAAGAGTAATATCTTTGCCAGCTTTGAGCTGACCGAACAAAGGACCAGGTTTCACACCCTTTTCCACACACTTTTCCAAGGATAATGTGCCTGCTCGAGGGTGCAATCTACAAATATAGGACATTGCACTTGATATCCTTGTGTTGTCAGATTTTTCTTCGGTCTTCTGTGTTTTTCTCTCCTTCTCTATCATGTTATTAAATACTCGCTTGCCATTAGAATTGGTTGTACAGTCATAATCATTGATATTATCGATCACTTCTTCTCCTACATCTGTAGACTCTTTCTCTTGTGCACTTGATTTCGTAATGGGAACGTATGATACGGATATTACTGAATCTGTATATGGCTCTGATTCATCGCACTTTGCTTCGTGAATTTTCAAAGCATGCAACATCACGAATTTCTTGACTGCATCAAATATCTCTATAGTCCCTTTAGGGGCGTGCACACTAATTTTTGGCACTCCTGCGTCTTGTATTGTTAAGAGCATTCCTGGCATGCCACCTAAGTTATTCCATGATGTCGATGTTATAAATATGTGTTCCAACTTTGTTAATCTATATTTATGTTCATACGCTGACCTCTGTGTTCCCTCTCCACAATTAAAAATATAGCTAGTGTGACCTGCCGTTAAGTAAACACACTTTGGCGCACCATAAGCCCCGCTTCCTAGAATCTACAAATAAATTTATATATTATATTAATCGATATTAAATATTAAATTATGATTTAAGAGAATATATTCTTATTCAAAAAAATCTAAAAAATTTTTCAAATGTTTGTTTTTTATTATATCATTTATACTAACCTGTAGTGACACATTTGCATTGCCAAGATATTTTAAAGATTTTTCTTTGTGTTTTTGCCTCGTTCTTTGCATAGTGAGCACGTGCGTAGGGGAACGCGGCATGGTTGTGTAATATTTACAACAATTTTGCTGTAATTTGTGATTTTTTATAAAGAGTGATAGCAGCGTGTGATAGTTCACATGATACACGGATGAGACTATTTTGGACTTCATTCGTTTGATTTTTTGTTATCGTGTCAAAACATTCGTCGGTAGGCGCTAAATAAGTTATTCGGATGCATGTATATATCGTTCAAATATGAAATCTAATCATTTCTAATGCAATATGAATTTAACCTCATTGCACATTCAACCAGCGATCTCACGTCAGATCGTGGAATTTTTAGACACGTGCATATGTAGACATGCGCAGTAATGTAGTATTAGCAGAGAGAAGCCTGAGAGAGGCAATGCCGGCGATTTTCGTGGGACGCTTTTTCTAGGCCGTAGAGCAGCGCCGTGCATCCACTTTTAGGAATTGGAAACACTTACCCACATTCACGGATGTGGGTAAGTGTTTCCAATTCCTAAAAGTGGATGCACGGCGCTGCTCTACGGCCTAGAAAAAGCGTCCCACGAAAATCGCCGGCATTGCCTCTCTCAGGCTTCTCTCTGGTGTTAGCTGGTCTGGTAGTATAATAACATAATATATTTTACTGAAGTAATTCATATTATTAGACCTAGCACAATAATAATAGTAACAAAAGTTAAAATAATAAAAATACCATTTCATTGTCTTTTCTACAATAAAATACAATCGAATAATTGGACAAGTTCGTTGGATAAAAGTTGATAAGCTGACAGTTTTTCGAACGCACCCTTGATGACATCGTCGATAAAGAATAAGCAAGTACTTGAAAATAGTAATGTTTTTGTAAAATTAAATAAAAAAAGATTGTAATAATAATTTTAATGTTAATTGGGTATTAGTAGGATAAACCCATAATACGAGCTTTACATACTTAATTCTGCGCATGCGTGAAAAACCCGGCCTGCTTGACAACAGGACAACACTGGAAGAAAACAGTGAGATGCGTGCGAATGTATGTATGACAGTGCGTGTGCGATCAACGTTTCCAATTTGGCGATGGCATTGTGTCGAAAGTCATCGATCTTGGAAAATTATTGACGCGAATTCAGCATGATTTAACGCGCTCGCGTTTTGCCGAAAAGGACAAAAGGAAATATTTATACAACGATCTCGATGCAAGACGACGACGAAATGTCGGCGCGGGCAAATCAGGACATCAGTCTCTGCCGCGTCTGTCTGACTATGAATCACTGCAACCAGTGCATCTTCCGTAAAAATTGGAACGATCCAGATAGCGCGGACACATCCGAACTGCTCTCAAAGAAACTGCAATTGTGCGGTGGAGTGGAGGTTTGTTTTTCATACCACTCGACATTTGTACTTATTTTTCATGTACACAAGGTATAAGATGATTTTTTTTTTCTAGGTTCAGGAAGACGATGGTTTACCTTCTAGCATCTGTACCAAGTGTGAAATGAAAATTAATGTTGCCTACGAATTGAGAGAACAATGCCAGAAAGCAGACAAGGAGCTTAGAAAACTCTATGGAATAACGTTGAGCACAAATGTTACTAGCAACTGTATTCTTACAAAAGTATTTATATTTTTATATAAATAAAATAATTTCAACATTGTTGAGACTATTGATCATATTTCTTTTTGCAGGATCAATATTGTCAAACTGAGCAATCTTTTAACCTGGATACAATCAAGTTAGAGGACAATAAGGAATTAAATATGGATAATAGAGATAATATAGAGAAGAATATCTTTATGACAGAATCAAGGAATGTTATGAAACATGAACAACCAGATACTTTTAATCAAACAGAAAATATTTTAGTAGATAATGTACCAGATTTAGATTGCGTTAATAAATGTAAACAACATGATAAAATTGTTATAAAAGAAGTTCATAGAACGAGAAGACTAACTATGTTCAAAAGAGTTACATCTATGGAGAATTTGAAGAATCATAAAGAAAGACAAAGAAGATATATCAAAAAGAGCACAAGCGTTAAACGAGATATCAATAGCGAGTATCAAACAAACACGAAAAATATTGATAGTAAAATAGATACAATGTCAGAATATGAATTGCGATATAAATGTTCAAAATGTGATAGATTTTATTCCAGTAAAAGGTCTTTAGATAGACACACATCAACTCATGATGATAAAGAGTTCAAATGTGATAACTGTGATAAACAATTTTTCTGTTTGGATAAACTGCATAAGCATTTTAATCTGCACAAAACGAAGGAGAAGCCAGAACCAGTGTTTTGTAGAATCTGCAATAAAAGATTCAGGAAAACTGATACTATGGTTAGACATTTGAATGTTCACAAGAGAGCGAATCCTAAGGAAGTTTTTTCTATATTAAAAGAGATTCGAGACAAAAGAAAATTAGAAAATAATACAGAATACTCCGAAATGTCACTTCATCTCGTTGTCAATAAGGATGAAATAATAGCACATGAAGAAAAATCGCAAAACTTAAAAGATAGCACAACGAGAGAATTAAGAAAACGTAACGTAAAAAGTGAACAGAGAGATTCGTTAAATAGCGATTCCAGTAATGACAAATTTAAGTCTTTTGACGATACATTGCTTTTTGACTGCAGATATTGCAGCAAGCACTTTACTAACGAAAAAAGCCTTCAACGTCATCAGTCAGTACATAAAAAATTTGTTTGTAGCGTCTGCAACATGAAATTTTTCCGGCAGGATAGGCTTAAGAGTCACATGGATCGATATGGTCATGACGAGAGCAAAACATGTTCGGAGCCGCAGAGACCACCTGACGATAAATCGGCCATTAAGCTGATAAACAGTTGGATCAGGGAAGAATTGGATTCCGATAATGAGGGTAAGGGCTTTCCCTGTAAGATTTGTGGGAAATCGTACGACACAAAGAAGTCTTTATTAAAACATCAAATGAAGACACATGGTGGACAAGACGAATATTGCGCAAACTGCGGTGCAAGCAGCGTGTGTATTTGCGCGGATAAGTACAAAGATCGGGAAAAGAGTAATGAAAAGTTGAAGCTGTATACATGCGAGGAGTGTAACAAGTCATTCGAGAAGGAGATCAAATTGCAGAGGCATTTACGAATTCACGAGCGCGCCAAGGAGCAGCAGGACACGAATTTCAAACGTTTTCTCTGTCACATATGCAGCAAAACATTTCGGCAGAACACCGGTCTTATGTTTCATATGAGAACGCACACGGGTTACAAGCCGCATGTGTGTAAGTACTGCGGCCGTGGTTTCACGTCCAACTCAAATTGCATCAATCATGAGAGGACTCACACAGGCGATCGGCCGTTTGTCTGTCAATATTGCAGTGCGGCGTTCGCCAAGTCATGCACCCTCAAGGCCCACATCACCACGCACACCGGCGAGGCGAATTATCATTGTAAGACCTGCGGTAAATCGTTTCGCCGACTAAAGTATCTGAAAGAGCATAGATTCACGCACACAGGCGAGAAACCGTACGCATGCAAGATCTGTGGCACGGCTTACAGTCATTCCGGCAGCTTGTTTGTACATGAGAAGAAGTGCAAGGCGCAGTATAGCAATTATCAGTCGGAAACTGTGCAAAACGCGCAGCAACAAACTACCTACTGCAGCCAGTCGCCCCAGACGACCATTTCCGGCGGCATTTCTTCAGTTACATCTCCTTCCTCGGTTATCGCGCCCATCATCACGACCACATTGCCTCAAGCTCATTTGAATATCATCAACAGCACTCTGAATGTACAGACGAACAAGGATTACATGGACGATATTCAGCGAATAAACGCACATGCAACGGGTACAGCGACTACGGTTGTTTCATCGGATCTGCAACCAAACACTGACATTTCCGAAATGAATTCCAATGTGAGGAACTTTGCCATTATCGGGCAAATGTTTCATACATAAAGGAAAGCAAGAAACGCAAATTAAAACTCTACTGTGATAAATATTTTTTTTTTAACGAGATTTTTGGAAGGTAGTATAACTCATATTTTACATGCAGATATTCGTATCTTACACTTTGAATATAGTCACATATTGAGTTAGCTCTTTCATAATCAGCATTACGATAAATATATCTTGTGTATCATTATGATATAGGGAAAATGGGTGTGTATATTTATACATAGAATGTATATTTATATTTCATAATTATTAGGGATTTTTATTATATAGAATTTTTACGGCAGAATTTTTATTAATGATATTATATATCGAGTTTATATATATATATATATATATATATATATATATATATATATATTTATATATATTTATATTTGAAATATTTGATGGTATACGTTATATCATTTATTAATATTTTAATTATCGCATTGTTATCATTATACATATGACCATATAATTATTATGCTAATAGCTCATCTATTGAATAAAATAAAGTCCTGTGAAACATAATGTTACATTTTTATGAGTTTTGTTTTATATTATGAAAATCATTTTTATATGAATTTTATAAAAAAGATGTGTTCTCTTTTTCTTAGTAATTGTTTTTCTTAACTTGGGATAATACTCTCAGCTTGCGCTATTACGCATGCGCGAGGTTTGTCCCTCCAATTGCCCTAACGCCCTAACGCCCTAGTGCGGCGTGCGGCGTAGGATCACGGTGGAAACATCCCATTGGGTAGAGTTCAACTTTAAGTTTGGTGTTTCCACCGTAAGAACGCTGACCCCAACCCTCACTGTTTCAGGTTCTCTCTGTTACTGGCTGCGTTCCGTTTCATGCACGATGCGCATGATCCATTACTTAGCCTTGTTGTTCACCGAATGTTAAACAAGAATAAGTCATGCATCATGCGCATTAAGATGCCATTACATGGCAGCATCGAGCATCGATCGTCTGCGCAGAAATCATTGCGCAGGAATCTAAATGAGATAGATTCCAGCTTCTTGCGGCTAATAGCATGATGAGTGATATGAATTCGGTCGAGATAAAAAAATTATGTTCTGATACACATTACTAATACTGAAAATTGATATTTATTTACATTATACACAATAGATATTATTATTATTAAACAAAATATATATAAAACGTTACTATCCCCCAGCAGAATATT